TACGGCCTAAAAAAAGTCAAAAAATTGAAAAATTGATTGCTAATATCCACGCTTTTTGAGAAATTTTGGAGTTTTCGGGTTTTGGTGTCTAAAAGTCTCGAAATTTTAGGGAATACATCTAGGGGTCATATAATGTCGTTTGGAACCATATATGATCGTTATTTGTTGTCATAAATGTTCGTTGTAGGCTTGAGTTAATGAAATCGGTGCAAGTTGTAAACCAGTAAATTGGTCCTTTAAAGGCAAATTGGATGGTTACACCCACCCAATTGGACCCCTAGAGGGTATTAGGGACCATAGTAAACATTTTGGCAATTTTTATTTCTGGGAAAAAAAGTCAAAAAATTCCTAAATTGAAGGCTAATATCCACGCTTTTTGAGAAATTTCGAAGGTTTCGGGCCAGGTGTCGGAAAGAAATAAGATTTTATTAGATACATCTCGGGGTCATATAATGAAGTTTAAAACCATAAATGACCATTATATGTAGTCATAAATGTTCGTGGTAGGCTTGAATTAATGAAATAAGTGCAAGTTGTAAACCGGTAAATTGGCCGTTTAAATGCAAATTCGATGGTTCCACTCACCAAATTTGACTACTAGAGGGTATTAGGAAACATGTTAAATATTTCGGCAATTTTTATTTTCGGGTGAAAAAAGTCAAAAAATTCCAAAATTGAGAACCATGTTAAATATCCACGCTTTTTGAGAAATTTTTGAGGTTTCGGGGCCCGGTGTCGAAAAACTTTAAGATTTTAGGGGATACATTTTAGGGTCATATAATACTGTTTTAAACCATTAATGATCATTATATGATGTCATAAATGTTCGTGGTAGGCTTGAGTTAACGAAATCGGTGCAAATTGTAAACTTGTAAATTCAACATTTAAAGGCATATTGGATGGTTCAACCTACCTAATTAGACTCCCAGAGGGTATTAGGGACCATGGTAAACATTTCGGAAATTTTTATTTACAGGCGAAAAAAAAGTAAAGAAATTCCAAAATTTAAGGCTAATATCCACGTTTTTTGAGAAATTTGGAGGTTTCATTTGAGGCCTAGTGTCGAAAATCCTTGAGATTATAGGGGATGCATCGTCTCTAGGTCATATAATGCCATTTGGAACCATATATTATCATTATATGTTGTCATAAATGTTCGTGGTAGGCTTGAATTAATGAAATCGGTGCAATTTGTAAACTGGTAAATTGGTCGTTTAATGACAAATTGAATGGTTCCACCCATCCAATTTGACTCCCGAAGGATATTAGGGACCATGGTAAACATTTCGACAATTTTTATTTACGCGCGAAAAAAAAAAGTCAAAAAATTCCAAAATTGAATGCTAATATCCACGTTTTTTGAGAATTTTTGGAGGTTTTGGGACTCGGTGTCAAAAAGACTTGAGATTTTAGGTGATAAATCTTTGGGTCATATAATGCCGTTTGGAAACATATATGATCATTATATATTGTCATAAATGTTCGTGGTTGGCTTGAGTTAATGTTGTAAACCGGTAAATTGGTCGTTTAAGGGCAAATTGGATGGTTCCCCCCATCCAATTGGCCTCCCGAAGGGTATTAGGGATCATGATAAACATTTCGGCAATTTTTATTTATTTACAGGCGAAAAAAAAGTAAAAAAAATCCAAAATTTAAGGCTAATATCCACGCTTTTTGAGAAATTTGGAGGTTTCATTTGAGTCCTAGTGTCGAAAATCCTTGAGATTATAGGGGATGCATCGATCTCTGGGTCATATAATGCCATTTGGAACCATATATGATCATTATATGTTGTCATAAATGTTCGTGGTAGGCTTGAATTAATGAAATCGGTGCAATTTGTAAACTGGCAAATTGGTCGTTTAAAGATAAATTGAATGGTTCCACCCATCCAATTGGACTCCCGGAGGATATTAGGGACCATGGTAATAAACATTTCGGCAATTTTTATTTACGGCGAAAAAAAAGTTAAAAAATTCCAAAATTGAATGCTAATATCCAGGTTTTTAGGAAGTTTTTGAGGTTTCGTAACCCGATATCGAAAATCCTTGAGATTTTAGGGGATATATCTCGGGGTCATATAATGCCCTTTGGAACCATATATGATCATTATATGTTATCATAAATGTTTGTGGTAGGTTTGAGTTAATGAAATCGGTGCAACTTGTAAACCGGTAAATTGGTCGTTTAAAGGCAAATTGGATGGTTTCACGGATATAACTTTTATAATTCTGAACCAAAAATGGACAACTAATAGTGATCTCAAATGACTAAATGAGCCCTTACAATACTAACTTTTAGCTAGTTTAGAATTGAAAATGAGAATTATGTAAATTAGTTCATATTTCTAACAGTTTTTAATTTATATTCCTGCAATTTGTATCTAATTGTGCAGGTGATTGAGAGTGAGGGATAGCTTAAGTGGTTAGAGCTCTCCTTCTGGTTCCAATTTCTGGTTCCAATAGATCTAGGGATAGATCGATAGTCATGACTTCTTGTGGCTATCTAAACACCAAAAAAATAATGCGGGTGATTGTACTTTTTTGCTAGGCAAGGTATCCTTGCTTATATAAACACATATAATTTACATCTTTAAAAGTTCAACAATATTCTCTCTAACACACACACGGCATAGACTAAATAGTTAAGATATTTGGTTTGATTAGGAACGTGGAAATCATAATTTAAAAAATTTGAGAAAAATATTCTAATTTTCATGTCTTAATTAAGGTCACTTAGTGTTTAAGGAAAGAAAATAAATTTAAAGGATACAACTTTGGCATAAACTTAAAAAGAACCTGATAAATGCTATGCCCACTACTTCTGAAACAGTTTTAATTTATTGTGAGTTGCGAGTAAAGAGATTCTAGCACTCTAAAAGTTGAGGAAATTTAGCTAACATTCTAATGAAAAGTAAACCTTTTAGTCATAATAATATTTATCGTCTGAAAAGCTTTCAAAAAGATGAAACAATTATCTGCATGGAAGGTTATATATTATAAAAATCGTCTAACTTTTTTAGCTAAATCTTATTTGAAATATAAAGTTTGATCTTATTTGAAAGTATAATACTTAACGCTGGAATCAAACTATTACATGTGTTTGGGAGTATTATAGCTTGTGATGTCTTTTAAATAGTTAACACGTGTTGCAATCACTTGAAATAAAACTTGATTTTAACCAACAATCTAAGATCTTATTGGTTACGTTCAAGGACTACATGTTGTATAATGTAGCACAAACATTTAACAAATTTTCACTATCATTCACAACTTATTTAAAGGCGGTACTTTGAAGTAATGAAATTTTATGAGCAAAATCACATGTGAAATTGTTAGGGAAGAGTTTTATTGACAAAATTATCAAAATTATTTACAGATTCATTCCATTCTCATAATTTATAACCGCTTATCAAATGTGTCAAAAGAGAACCAACTCCATAACGATACCTATAATTGCCGTTATAGATCCCTCGAGAGAGTCAAGAGTAAAGCCCTAACCAAAAGTTCGGATAAAATTTAACAAACGATTGAGGGGGCTTGTTTTATCTTTACTAGGCGCTCTAATAAGTGTAGTGAATGACAAGATTCTCAGTCATCCTCTCAAATGTACGCACGAGAACAATCAAGAGAAAATGTACACATCATGGAAGCATAAAGTAACCCGGCCCCTATTATAAAGCAATCCTTTTCTTCCTAGAATCAATTTTAAGCCCCACTTTCTTCCTTTTTATACCCAACTTTTCCTTAACCCACTCTACTTTCTTACCTTAGGAGTTAGGAGTGCGTTATATACATACCAAACACCAAAGAGAACATATTCCCTTGCAAATAAAGAAATTCTACAACTCACAAAACATACAAGTAGAAGATCAAGAACGAGAAGGTTTTATCATGTGCCAAAAAGCAGGGTTCCCTTTCCACAGCCTTGAGGGGCTGGCGACGATGAGGATTACTCGAAGGTACCTCTTCCGTGCACCGCCCCTGGTGGAGGAACCTGCTGTAAATGATCCACAGCAAGGAGAGGGAGCTGCTGCGGCGGGTGGTGGAGGTGGGGAAAGAAAGGTTTGTCTGTGCTCACCAACAAGCCACCCAGGTTCTTTTCGTTGTCGGTATCATCATGCAGATTATGTGTGGTGTAGCATGAAGCTTAGTCCTAGATTTCAGTATTAAGGAAGTTAAAGCTTAGTCCTAAGATGACTTGTGCAATTGTATGTACTGTTCTTTGTGATCAGAATAAAGTGTGTTTATTTTGATTGCAACAAAAGCTTTGAAATCACACTTCTGTTACAAACTTGGTTCTTATTAGAGCTAATCTAGGCTTAATTGATCCAAGCTTCCGCCAACAGCGGTCCATTCTGACCAGAAAGTGGCGGCACAATCTCGGCTCGAATTGGGCAAGCCAAGGCCATACGCCATACTTAATCAGCTCTATGATTGTATGTGCATGAAGATAGCAACCATCAAAGAATGTACAACGTCACAAGGAAACAAAATAAATTAGTCATAGTATAGTATTATGTAGCCATTCTAATTTGCGTGCTTGTAAATTGTAATTAATAATTGGTTAAGAAACACATGTACACAACTACCTAGTTTCTGCAAACATTTCAGTGTGGATAACTATAACCTGGCCGACATTAATAGACCTGCTAAAATATCCATTTGCTTGAGTTCGGCAGAATTGTAAAGAAATGGCTGTTAGGTAAAAGACAACTTTGATCTCAGCCTCTAACAGCGTGCCCTTTTATTTGAAGATTTTGGCATAAGAAGAAAGTAATACTCCCCCTCCCTAAATTAAAAGCCTCGTTCTCTATTAAGGGAGAGAGGGAATAGTTTAGTAGAGTGAGGTTAAATGCCTACGGCAGCGGTTAAGTGACCGATTATTGGATACAATCGGAAAATGTGTAAAGTAAAAAGGGATGGAAGGAGTAATTGAATGACCCCCTTTTATCCCTCTTTTGCTCTCTCCACTCCTTAAAACAAGCATTGACGTTGTGATTAAAAGAGAACAAAAAGGAGTTTATTGATTATGACATTCCAAAACCAAGCATTGCAGTCAAGCAAACAGAGGTGCATACTGAGAACTGTGGTGATACAATCAAGCGTGGTATACTCGTATACAGAACATATAGATTTCTCAATGTGATTGATCGTGTAAGATGTAATTAGAATAATATTGACTTCGAAACTGCACACAACCCCTGTACAATAATAATTATTATAATGTACATTAATATCCACACGATATGCAGATCCTGCGAAACTCACATAGATACCTTCTGAAATTTACACCTCAAGACTATCGAGCGAGAAGCATCTTCATTACTGATTGATTAATTGCAGCTTCTTGTATAGCCATCTAAGTCACTGAAAATGTAACAAGCCATTAAAGAAGGAACATTTCTTGTATGTTGTGTAAATTCAGACGAACGATGCAACAATAGAAATACTTCTGTGGCTCTGTTGTCTGTCTCTATCTACTAGTTCTAATTTTTAAACAACTGGAACTCGATCTCAAAAGAACAATAGCTTGGTTCCTAGAAAGAAAGAGAGAAAGAAAGAAAGAGCAATGCCATATCACTTATATGCATCCAAGTTCCTAGAAAAATTTCACCAGGATTTAACTACTGAAAGATGCTCATCAACAATTACATGACTACTACTATATGTTAATGTACAATATTACGCTATATGTTTACAAAGGCAAAACTAGCCCTTAGTAAGCAACTAACAGAACCATTAAATATCAATAATTGCACTCTTCAAAGAAATAGAATTCCCTTTCTATACATACAGTTCTTATGACCACAGCTCAGTTACTCAAAATGAACATAATAACCAAAGTCTATATTCTTCTAAATTTCTAATAGAGATTAACAACAAATCAGCATATCCTTCGGAAGCTAGGAGAAGGAAGAAAGAATAGAATATGTACAGGTTGAGTAATCAAGTCAACATTACCCCCAATTCAAGAAGGCTTCTCAAGTTCTTATGTCAATTATCAAGAGGCTCTGGGCCTTCCCAACATTGGAGAATACAACTTCTACGGTTCTACCATATCATGCCATCAACTGAATGGACAAGCTCACTATTCAATGATTCCGATCTCAACAGATTGCCTTAATGGTAATTGGAAAATATTACACCTCACATCATACTATCATGATATATAATAATCAAAAGTTCATCATCTAATCAAACAGATATGTACCACTTAGTATGTTCTGCTAAAGTCTGACATATCTCGTAGAAGATTTTACACCAGTCACACTCATATTTACTCATAACTAGACAACTACTGAGCTATGTCACATCAAAAAGGAAATGTAGAATTGAATTAAGAAAAAAGGGAGGAAGTTGCAAAAACAGTTGACAAAAGATGACATGTACTGAAACATTTGAGTATATATGAACACAAGTAGATCAGTAACTTACCTCAGGATAGCAATTTTGATGAACGATTGTCTGGTCTTTTGGATTTACATCTACCTCACATGACACTTTAGTCTGAAATGTAATAAACATATATCAGAGCGTAATCACAGCCAAAAGGAAAAACGAAACTGAATACAGCCTTGCTATGGTAACTTCCATAGCGCATATCAAATGTAAAAATTCAATGGCTCATGCAATTTTTAAAGCTATATAAGACAAAAGGCTTTTTTATAATATTTGATATGACCCCCCCCCCCCTCCTCCTACTACTTCGCTAATCCAGTGAGTTCTCGACTTCTCGCCAATTTGATGGCTTGGAGTTAGATTAGCTTTGAATCAGACGGCACTCATGTTATTATGTGCTGGCTTGGTGCTTAATCTCAAAAGTACCTAAATGGGACATGTCTCAAAGTACCAAGAGACATGATTCAATAGTTAAGAGACAAAACCTCCTAATCCATCATTATGCTTCCATGGGGAGCCATTAGGTGACCAAATTGCAAACTGAACTATTCCAATGCATGCTTTCATTTACAGCAGTAATTTAATTCCATGTGAAATGTATCATAGAATAATTGACGATTACGATGACTAGGACAACCTGATAAGCATATGTTTTTCATGAGGTCCACAGGCTTAAGGGTCATCCCTCATCCGTCACATTAGGGTGTAACAACAGTCACTGCTTAGATGACCAACTCATGACAATCAATTAACAACTTCAAGTAATGGTCTCTACTCTATAGGTGCTACTGTGGGTTATACCTTACATAATTAGGGATAAATCTTATTCTCAGCTCCCTATCTTGTTATGCTTGAAAAAATTGCATGACAAACAAAATTAAAGGATAGCTAATAAACACTTGTATAGAACTAGTATAGAAACAGGAATATCTGAAAAAACATAGAAGCAAACTTTACACTATTAAATGACAATCTGTGAAGAGCACCATGCATAACAACTTGAAAAAGAAACATCACTACAGCCTGCACTATTCATGCAACTCTAAATGATTGTTCATACGAAAACAGTAAACAATCAACACCTATTTTCTCCATGTTCTATCACAAAGATGGTTCAGCAGCAAAAACAATAACTTTTATAGCATTTTTGCTTCTCTCACTATAAAAGCAATGGCACAATTTTGCTTTTCTGCAATCAAATGTCTTACTCTCTCCACAGCCCACAGCACAAGCATAAAAACCAGACAAGCAGAAACAATAGTCGCAAATGGTCATTAATCGTTTCCAAGAACCGCAATGGCAAACCCAAATCGTAATTTCAGCCTTGACAATGTAAATGATGTTCTATCTTGCAAAAAATGCTCAACATTTAGCAATGCTAAAGAGTAAGTAGCATAGCACTAAGTAGTAACAATCCACAAACTTGCCACAATGTCCAAGCTACCTTAACCTAAAATCAATTATTGGAAAATATTGATCCCTGTAAATTTCTAATCAAGTCAATAATCTCAATAGAGTCCTGTACAAGAAGATCACTAGTTGCAAATTTGCATTTACAATTTTGTCTCATTGTTAAAAGCTCAGTTCAAATTAGCATTAAGCAAAAATAGAAAGTGTTTCGGGTGAAAACAATGGGACCTTGCCGAAGGTCCGCTGAAACGGAGAAGACTGGATTCGGTCCAAGTTATGTTGGGCCGAAGGTTTCCTGCACAGTAAACACACGTAAACTAGCCTCGGGGGTGTTGCCGAGGAAGGCCCCTCCGATGCTAAAGTCAGTACAATGTGTAGAAAGAGAACACTATGCAAGAGAATTAGTTGCTTGAGGCTTTGCTTGAATATATGAGAATATATGAATCTATGTGAATGTGTGAATCTATGAATCAATGAATGAATATGATATTGATGGCTTTTATACCTCTTCATACATGGAAAAGTTGGGCCTTAGCCCAATTGGCTTGCTTTGAGGGCTGACCTTTGACTTTAGCACAATTGGAGAGTTGAACCTTGACCTTGGGCTTTTAATTGGATCATTTAATGCCTAGGCCCAATTGGACTAAATTGGACCCAAACAACTTGCCCCCCAGACCCGATTTGGAAGGATGACGGGTCGGGTTTGATTTAATTCAGAAAAGGAGGGAAGTAAATGATTTAATTAATCCAAAAATTTGAATTTAAACCGTAATTAATGAGATAACAACGGTTAAGGCAGATGATGGTGGAAGTTGGACGGATAATGGGCAGTTTAATCGCAAGATCGTGTGCTTAACGGTTACTTAGTGGAGTATTTAAGAGAAATTGAAACGCGGACTCCTCGTATCCCATTCCTGGAGATATAAACAGAGGCGCGTCATCTCTCCTCACTTATTCACCAACACAAACCCAGAATTCTCGAGAGAAACCAAGAACCCGCATCAAAACTTCGCAAATTCCCCGAGCATTAAGCTTAGAAACTGAGACTTGCCACTACGAACTCGTAAATCGGCAACTTTCGCTTCAGATTAAGGTAAATTCCTTTGATTTCAGTTTATTTTTCTTCGAATTCGAACTCCTTCCCCTTTTTTTTTCGACTTTTTTCTTCGAAATAATCAATGGCAAGAGGAGTTAGAGGTAGAACCCGTGCTCCAAGAAGAGCAAGGCCAATTCCCGATCCTAGGAACAGGATAGGGACCTGGAATGGACAAAGGCCAGAGTCTGACCCTGCTGAAGGGATTAGGGCGACTCCAATTTCCTCGGCTCCTCCTCAGAGAGCGGAGGGGCCGAGCGCTTCTGGACGGGACGATGAAGTTCCCGCTGTCCTTTGGGATATCCTCCCCGGGTTTTCAGAGTGGGAGAATGCCGAAGTAGCTTCGGCCATGATAAAGAACCGCCCCTACTCATGGTGGGTGGAGTATGCCGAACAATATCGGTTTGCCGAGCAAATTGAGTTGCATTACGGCATTTTTGAAGCTGATGGGTATTGGTGTCGAATGCCCGCGGCATCCGATAGAATCCATCGTCCACCCCCGGGGTATGTGGGGGTGTACACAAGACAACTTCAGTACGGGCTGAGGTTCCCTTTGGACGTATTCGTCCGAGACTTGCTGATCCATTACAATAACTCCCACCAGCATCCGAAGGGTGATGACATATTTATGGGTCTGCAAGTTCTTCAAGTATGTGCCGAACCTGCACTGCTTCAAAAAGCTTCATCGGCTAGTGCCAAATATTCAAAGTGGGCACGGAAGCCATGGTTCTGGGTGGTACCGGATTGAGTCCCGGCCCCAGTACCTAACCATGTGGCCGAACGACTCTTCAGACAAGGACTGGAGAGGTCAATGGATTTGGGTTAGGGCACCCACAGATCTGGGCCACCCTTGCGTCTTCAGCGCTCCCCGGTACCTTGCTGAGCCTGATCCCGACATGGGAAGTCTAGGTCCCCCCGCAGATAACGGGCCGGATCCGAACCTTGATCAACAACATATCTTCGGCAAGCTGCCGAACCGGGGGGGCAGCGGCCGAATGCAGCATATCCCGGAGACTTGGTTCCCCGATACACATTATGTTTTCCCAAAGAATATGCTAGCAGCTGTCGGCCTCAGCCGAAAGTTTAAGGATGGTAAGCTTCTTCGGTTGGGGCCGAGGCTTTTTAATTATCTTTCTTCTCTCGCTTCGCTTTTTTATGCTGTGCCAACCTATCTGAACTGACCTTTCCCCTTTTTTTTTTTCAGAGCGGGACGAGACCAACGTTGGCATTAACTACGCTCGTCTTGGTGTCAACCGATAACGAGTTGTAACTGAACGGGCCCCGTCTATCACTGAACCGAGGCATAGGGAAGTTCATCTAGACTCTTCCCACTTCCAAATTGAGGCTGTTGCTCTGTATCAGAGGCAGAAGCCTTGGTGGAAGAAGAGAGACCCCTGGTTTCAGCTGCTGGACGAAGAAGCTGAAGCTGCCCGTACAGCCGAAGAGGTTGCACGGGTTCTCGAAGCTTGCGAAGGAGGAGAAGGATCCTCCAGAACTGCTGAAGAAGAAGCTGCAGCTAGGGCAGCTGAAGAAGACGAGGCTTTGCTGAAGACCTCGGTGAGCTTTCAGACTTAACTTTGTCTTTCTTCTTTTTTCCTTTTTTTTTTTTTTTTCTTTTTTTTTTTTTTCATTTTTTTACTCACATTCTTCCTCCCCCCTGTCTGTTACAGTCTGAAGAGAGTAACAGACACAGAGAAGGGAAAGCCCCTGTTCGTCCCGAAGACCAAATACAAGAAGAGTCTTCAGACTCAGATATGGACGAGCAGCCCCTTCAGAAAAGGCGCCGAAGGATGGCCATCATCGGGCCGCATGACTTTCAGCGGAGGCCGATGACCATCGGCGTTGAAATAAGGGAACCCGAGGAAGGCAATGGATCGCCGAGGGTTCCCCGGCCACAACCTCAATCACCTCAAAAGACCCCTCCGCCACCTTCTGAGATGGAGGTGGATAAAAAAACTCCCGAATCAAAGGGAGGGGTCCAAGAAGAAATTCAGGAGAGTGCTGCTGAGCACAAGAATAAGGATGGCATGATGCCCAGTGCTGAGGGTTTCACGGCAGACATCGCAAGAGAGGTTGAGGCTTTCGTCCTCACCCCTGAAGAAGAGGAGGTCAAAGTAATTGACTCCTCTGAGAAGGATGATGCTGAGCCATCCAAAGCTAAACAAGCTCCATCGTCATCCTTTCCCTCCTTCCAGACTCTGCAATCTGGAGAAAATGGGTTTCTCGGCCCCCCGAATTCCAATCCCAGATCACATCTGGGACCTCATATGGGGTCAGAACCGAGAAGGAGCTGCAGCCTACTTCGGCGATTTTGCTGGCATGTCCGAAGTAGATAGGGCAAGAATCTGGTCGCTGAAGGCCACTGCTGGGATGGGCGAATCCAGCAGATCAGTTCCTGACCCAGCCAGGTCTAACCAACTGCTGATGATGCAGGTGATTTTCCTTGCCTTTATTTCCTCTAAAATTCAGCTCTATTTTTATTATTATTTTTTTTAACTTGTCTTCCTGTTTTCAGTTCGTGCACAATCAGACTCTCACTGTAGAGATGATAGATACCCTACAAGATAGGGTAGACGCTGCTGAGCACGACAAGAAGGTAGCTGAA